TTTTACCCCTAGGTGCTGGCATTCAGTGAGAGGGCACTGTCAGGGTGCAGACAGACCACAGTGACCCTCCAGGCCCAGGGGCTCTGGGAGGCCAGAGGCAGCGCTGGTTTGGAGCTGTCCCCATGCAGGCTGCCGGCTGTGTCCCAGCGTGGGCTCACAGCGAGCAGCCAGGAGGGGCTCTGGGAGGCACCGGGGGCTCAGCCAGTGTCACTCACTTGATCAGAGACTCTCTCTCCATAGCGGAGCTCTGTCACAAAGTGCTCACAGTTGCTGCCAAGCACATCATACGGCACCTCCCTGTCAATCCATTCCTCAGCACGTCGGATGATTTCCTCCACGGGGCGAGGAGTGCGGGAGCAGTCGTGTTTGTTGTTGACACGCCATTTATTATTTCCCACCACTTCCTTCAGGAGCTGCTTCTTCACCTTAGCCTTTCTGGTGAATATTGATGTGGTGCTCACTGACAGGGATGGGGCTCCTTCATCTGGATAAGCCAAAGAGGAGATAATGCAGGCAGGCAGACCTTCTCTGGCCTCCCCAGGAACTCAGACGAGTTTCTGATTGTGCCTGGAAAGGTTATCTACACACACAGTGTCCACCAGCAGCCCATAGAGGGAGACAGGGCTCTTGGGGCATGCCAACACCCACCCGGCACCCTGCCAGGTGGCACAAGCCTTACCTACAGGTGTCACGTTGATGACATATCCATCCCCCACGTAGATGGCCCAGTGCTGGTACATTGGCCTGAAGATCTCGATCAGGTCCCCAGGCTTGGGGTGGCCCCTGTCCTGTGCCATGTCAGCAGCGAGCAGTCAGGACGTGCAGCTGTGGCTGTGCGGGCTCAGCGCAGGGCAGAGCGCAGCGGGGAGGCGAGGGCTGTGCAGGGGCACCTGCCGGGAGCGCAGGCACGGAGGGTGTCAGTGCCGGGCCCCGAGGGCAGCGGCTGCCGGAGCGGCGGCCCCGCTCGGAGCACCGGAGCCGGCTCGGGGCCGCTGCCGCCCGCCGGCGCAGGGCGAGGCACCGAACGGCCCCGCTGCCACCCAGAGCATCCGCCGCAGGCCGAGCCCGGGCCGGCTGCGCGTCCGGCGCCTGCCGCCGTCCCCGGCTGCCCCCGCCCGCCCACGGTGCCCGCGCTCCCCTCCGGCCGCGCTCCGCTCGGGGCTCCGCTGCTGCCGGGGCCGGGCCCGCTGCCCGGGGCTGCCCGCGCTGCCCAGCCCGTGCCCGGGCTCTGGGGCACCTCCGGCCGCCCGGCAGAGCCGCGCCCGCAGCCTGGAGGGGCCGCATCCTGCTGGGAATGACCGCTCGCATCCCCCGAGCTCCGCTCACCCAGCACCTGTCCCGCTGCTGCCGCGCCCGGGCTCCCGGCCCGATGGTCCCGCTATAAATACCATGGTAGAAGAATTTGAGAGCTTCATGACTGAGAGCACCGCCCCGGACCCATCCCGTCT